AGTTACTGACAGCTTACTGAAGGGGATTGTCTTGTGGGAACCCTCTGGGCTCACTGCCTCTTGCCCATCTAGGGTACGTCTAAACTACATGGCTCCATCAACGGAGCCATGTAGATTTGTTTGTTCGGCAAAGGGAAATGAAGCCGTGATTTAAATAATCGTGGCTTTATTTAAATTTAAATGGCTGCCCCGCTCTGCTGATCAGTTGTTTGTTGGCAGATCGGGGCAGTCTGGACGCTCCCCTGCTGACATGAAAGCCCTTTATCGACCTCCCCAGTAAACCTCATCCTACAAGGCATAACGGGGAGGTCGATAAAGGGCTTTCAGGTTGGCACGGGAGCGTCCAGACAAGCGCGCTGAGCCGACAAACAGCTGATCAGCTGTTTGTCAGCTCAGCACGGCAGCCATTTAAATTTAAATGAAACCGCGATTATTTAAATCGCGCGATTATTTAAATCACGGCTTCATTTCCCTTTGCCGATCAGCTTAATCTACATGGCACCATTGATGGAGTCATGTAGTTTAGACACACCCCTAATGTTCTCATGAAACACCAGAGCTGAAAATCCTTCGTGCAAGATGACAGTTTCCCAGTAATCTCTTCATTATGCACATACTGGCCAGTTTTGGCAGATTCTTGCATTGCTTCCAGATGGAGAGGATGAATATGACCTGATATAGCCCTCATGAAAATTAGCTTCTGCGTGGCTCTGTTTTAACAGCTGAGGCTGGAATGCTCAGCACCTTTCATGCACAAGCCCCAACTGAAGAGCAGGGTTTAGTATGAATTCTGTGCATTGGGGTACATTTCAGCCTCAATGCTTAAATAAACATATTTAAAATCATTTGTACTTCAAGCACTACATCACCACTAGTCGTTTCTATGGACTTTATTGTCATTTTCCTTTCAGTTCCAGAGTATAAAAGCATGCAAAAAATAGCCTCTCTCTTAATAGTACATATTTACACTGCAATGGCCATGTGCCATTACAATACAGAACACATATACATCATGCTTCAGTTATAGAAGAGTACAATACAGATTGCTATACCTCACACCAAACAGCACAACAGATGTCAATACCAACACAGAACAGGCATAGAAATCAGGTACACAGCAGCAAAATTACGGCACACAGTATCAGCATTGTCTCTGAATATTACAATTCATTTAGCTTTTATCATTCTTTTTGAAATTTTAGTGTTGGAAACACTTTATGGAGAAGAGATGTTGAATGAAGGTGCATGCCTCAGCTTGAAGAAACACTAAGCTTAAGTGACTTTGATTCAGAGATGGTTATTCTTGCATGAAAAGCTAGGGATAAACTGCTAGTTCCTGACTTTCCCCCCACTCCAGTACATCCAGAGTTCTGAATGAAGCAAACCTACTATGTTTTCTACAGTGCACTGGCCCAGGAAAGAAAATGTTTTCCTTTTTTGATCACAGGACCATTTTGTAAATGTGTTCACATGAAAAGGAGAATCTCAGGTAACTCAATGCACTGTACAAAAATTCACTAGTTGCCTCCCAGAAATGCTGTACAAATCTGAAATATTGTATTTTTTTCCATTAGAATATAATAAACTGCACACAAGCTCTAGCAATTCCACTTTCCCAGTTTTCATTTAGACTACTATCTAGATGCCCTGTATATGGAGAGACAATTCTTTCTTTCCTCCTGTTTCCTTGTATCAAATCACTAAGAAACAAATAGTGTTGTGGCACCTTAGAGTCTAACAACAATAATAAATAGTATCAAGTGTAGTGTATTTTTGTTGGTCTCTAAGGCACCACAGCACCACTTGTTTTTAAGGTTACAGACTAACACAGCTATCCCTCTGAGACTCTCAAATCATTAAAACATTTTGCATTAGTATCAAGGATCAGGACCTACTACATTACACCTGATCAGCATGCAGCAAAGAGCTAGAGGTTTGCTTCTGCATGGTATGGAGGACTCTGACCCGGATCCTGGAAATAACTTAAGCTCATGCTTAAATATGTCAGTAGCCCAACTGATTTCACTACACAAAATGCTCAGTATCTTGCTGGATGGAACCTTAGCTGAACTGGAGATATAAGTAACATTCTTTGCTGTACATGTCTTGAAAAGATCTCTCTAGCCATGACACTAAAGTTTAATTTACAATCATGCAACAAATGATCCATCATATACACAGCTGGCTCCTGGAGACTTGAGATCATGCTGAAAAGACCTTTTATTTTTTGCACATTTTCTATGCAGCTCTTTGCCTTGCTGATGCTGGGGACAAATGTGAGGGAGTAGCTTCATTTATTTATTTATGACTTTTACTGGGTGATGGATATTTGTGAACAATGTGAATACAGCTTTGTTAGATCCTCCTGGACTAATCCTGAGAGGAGATGGCACATATATTGAGACTGTAAAGGAACTCACATTGCAATTTATTACAAAATACAAGAAAACAAATTTCAAGACCTATTTTAGTTTAGGTACTCGTTTGAAGTTCCTGGGAGTTTTGCCTTTTTTTCCAGGACTGCAGAATGCCTAACCTTACTTTGAGTTGGCTGGTGAAGTAATGAATATGTTATGGGGACTTTTCTTCGTCTAGACTACCGCGTTTTGTCGACGGAAGTTTTGTCAACAGATACTGTCGACAAAACTTCCGTCGACAAAGAGCGTCCAGACACATTGAGTTCTGTCGACAAAGCAAGCTGCTTTGTCGACAGAACTCCGTAGTCTGGACGCAATGTTACAGGCAATAACACCTTCTGTCGACAGATTTCTGTCGACAGAAGGTGTTATGCCTCGTAAAATGAGGTATACCAGCGTTAACAAAACTGCTGAGTTCTGTCAACGTTATGTCGACAGAACTCAGCGGTAGTGTAGACGTTGGTATAGTTTTGTCGACAAAAGTCCACCTTTGTCGACAAAACTAGGTAGTCTAGACACACCCTTAGTTGCACTATAGTTCATTTTGTCTGACAAAGAACTATACCATGCCCTCGCCTCTCATATTAAGACTCTGTTGTATGGCACATTTTCTGATCTGGAGGTAATTTGCTTCCTACCTACAGTACCAATTTGCCTAAGTAAAGAATGCAGTGGTAACAGCATTCTCTTTGTTATGCAGAGATTTCAAGATGGAGTGCACTTTTAAAAAAACATTTGTCAGAACATTTTCTTCTGAATTCCCAATTTAATTTATATCTCATTTTATTTATTCTGGAAGGCTCTAGGACTAAGATAAATACAGGATTATTTGTTATTGCATCATTAAATCCTTTCGTAGAGCCAATGTGCTGAATCATGTGAACTCCCACTGAACTCAATGGGTGTTGAGGGCACGCCAAATCTCCTAAGAGGTCCATGTGGAACAGAAATAGGTCATGTACATCCAAATATTAAAACTCATAGTAGACCATGTATAGACTCATCATAACCTCATATGTAAATGGTCTTGTCTATGAATTACAGTGCACAGTCACATATGCACATAATGCATATGCAAAACCAACACATTTAATTTCCACCAGTGAGCACTCAGCACCCTACAAGATGGGGCTCAAAAAAGGCCAAGTTATTATCGGAGTTTTATTTGTCAAAAGAATATTAGCTTAGAATTGGAAGCATGCAGTGAAACTGCTTAGCATGCTAGAAACTCAACAGAAAGATATGTATGTTGATTTCATGTAGAACTCATATTTTAATTTAAAATAAAGTAGTGGCACTTGAACTTGCATACCGTGAACTCCTCCTGCTATAGCAGGTGCCCGACAGGTTACAAAGAACCCAGTGTTACAAAGAACAAAGTGTGGGCTTTAAGGGGTCCATTTGCTACAGCCCTCATGCTTATGTTGTTGAACATAATCTATTTCACAACTGCACATCTCTGAACTTAACCTAGTCCCTGTTCAGCTGCAGCAGCTAAAGGCCTAGAAACCCTTGCTGTAAGGGGATTTCCCTCCAATGTCTTGAATTTTAACTTGACTCACAGTCCATAGTTTCCTGAAATAAATATAACAAGATTGCAACTGCCCATCAAAGGAGGTAGATTTCTTTACAACATTTTTGCTTTGACATCATGATCCATGGAGCAGTGAAATTCCTTCATGAAATCCATTGCAACCAATATGGCACCGGTTTATCATACATAGTAACTAAAGGAAAGTCCTCACAGTCTCTCTGTGTCCTTGTTTCTGGAAACGTAAGCAGGTCAAGGGGTCTTATGGATACCATGTTCACTTACGCTGTCCCCAAAGAGGAGCAGAATTTGACATCAGAACTTATGCTTTGCTACAAAAACCCCTGCTGACAGACAGATATAACAGCTGCAACAAGCAGCACAGAATGAGTTGTTTCTAAAGCTGCTTTCCTTTCATAATTACCAGAGCCTCTCATTATTGACTTAGGACGACCCTGATCTCACTCGGACTAAGTTAGTGGCAAAAGATCCATTGTCTTCAATTTGAGCAAGAGTATTAAAACCTTAATAAGAATCTTTTCAATTGCATCCAATTTGCAAATAAAATGAATCAAGCTAGCATCCCCTCTCCTCTTAACACAAAAACAATGACCTCTAATTTGCCTGACATATTTGAAACTCAAAGGACTGCTCTGGCATGCAACCCACTGGCAATTACAAGTAAAGTGAAAAACCAAAAAGTGAGTGTCTTGTCAGAAGGAACTCAAACAAGATGCAAAACTGTTATCATCAAAGGAGTGGAAGGAAAAGGAAATTTGTGAACATGCCATTAATGTTAGCCACTTTTCAATTTATGCTTTATATGTTATTATGGGAAATAATATTATAATAGAGTAAATAAATAGGTGGGCCTTACAGAGATCTTTGTGGCTCCTGATTTGTAATTAACCCCCCCCTAAAATCCTGTTTTATAGGTTTTTTTCACACATGCCAAGGCACTGAACAAAATCCTAGGAAAATCAAATATCATGATTACTGATGCATGTACACAATTATCTTATGAATAACAATTATAAGAGCTGGCTACATGATTCAAACAGGAAAGACTTTACTGTAAACTTGTTTCCTTATTTTGCATTGTCAAAGTCTCCCAAAGACAACTGGCAAATATCTAACATGGCTGATTTGCTTGGTGTCTTTATATACCTTTGCTGCTCAAAAGCAGAATCATGCAGATATGACACAATTACCCAGCAAATACATATTATTCTTTATCACAGAAAATTGGCAGGAAACCATAGCACAAAAGCAGATATACACGTGCACATGGGGGCAGGGAGGAAGGTGAGATGGTGTTACAAACATTAAGAGTCACTGTATGTGCATTTACTCAGACTCTACAAGCATCTGAAAACAACAGGAATTTAAGTGTCACATTCATATTGAAATACTCCCACCCAAAGTGATAAAGATCTCTACTATTGCTGCCCTTGCTAACAGACTTGACAAACTCTATCAAGTGTTATTTTTCAAGCTGAGATCTATTAATAATTTATAACACATACTTCATACCGATAAAAAAAGTGTGTTATTTCTCCACAAGAGATTTCTTTAAAGGCTTTTCAAATTAGACACATAACTTAATTACAACTTGGACTAAATTATAAGAAGTGATAAATATGATTTGTTTTACAAACAACTGTTAGAAGTATTTCTGACAGATGCGAACTTGAGTACACACATTTTGATGAAGTCAGAAACCCTTCTTTGAAGGACACACTTGCAGCAGAAATTGTGTTGTCTAGTATATAGGCTCTGGCCTACACTAGGACTTTATTTCGAAATAACCTCCCCAAGGTTGAATTTACAAGCGGTGCATCCACACTACCAAGTCTGTTATTTCAAAATAACAGGTTGCAGAATTCAAACGCTGTACTCCTGCTTTTCATGAGGAGTAATGCTACTTCCTAAATAGTAATTTCAAAATAACAGTAGTGTGGATGCTCCGGTGCTGCTAATTCGAATCTATTGGCGTCCAGGAGGTCTCCTACAGAGTGCTTCCTGGGGCTCTAAGTCCAAGGTAGTGCATCCACATTAATGGAGCCTGCCTCAGACTAATTTTGAGGCTTCCTCATAGTGAGGACACACTAGTTCAAATTTGTTAAATCGGGAGCTCTTAAGTCGAATTCAGTAATTTCAAAATAGTTTGCTAGTGTGGACATGGCTTAATAGCGGTGGAAGATTTTGAATACAAAACGTATTCCTTCCTCCGCAGATCATCCCAATGCCTGATATCCATGTCAAGAAAAAGATTTTCCTCCATTCTGGGTAGGACTGGATTGTCAGAGATGAAAGAGTAATTTTAAAACATTCTTTAACCTTAATTTATCCTTTATTCTTCATCCAGTCTTGGCTTGACAAAGCCCTACCTGGACTGAGCCCTGGCTGGGTTGATTTAGTTGGGATTGGTCCTGCTTTGGGCAGGCGGCTGGACTCAACCTCCTGAGGTCTCTTCCAGCCCTAAGATTCTATTATTCTAATTTGCTCCTGTCCCATAATAGAAAGGCGCTATTGCTCCAAGCTATACTAACATTGCTGCAAACACGGTACACGTCTCTCTGATCGCGTGACAGAAGTGGAATGTCATTTCACAACATTCCCTTTAGACATGCAGAAAAATGATTAGACTTCTTTTGATGTTTGCATAATTTCCACGTTTGGAACTGTGTGCAGATTTTGCGTCTGCATTGGGTGATGGAATTAGGATGATTTCTTGCCATCTAAAGAAAAAGAAATCTTGGCCTGAATGCCAGAGATGACAAAGTCTCTGAAGTAGAATTCACTGTGTCTGGATTGGAAAAAATAGGTTTGTGTGGCCTCCCTCCCAAGGAACATTGAACATTTTCTAAAATTTATTTGGGGGAGAATTTAAGAGATTAAAAGACTATCAAACACAGTGCCCTATGGCTAAATAAATAGTTCATGCTTTTAAAAAATATATTGTGCTTTAGATTTGATTTATTCATCGAGGCTGGGATTTTCAAAGGATTCTTACAGGAGTTAGGCTCCCAAATCCCTTTGGAGACTGAGTGCCTAACTCTACTGAAGTCCTTTGAAATATCTCCTCTCCAGAATTTCAAAATGGAGTGTTACTGAAATATAAATTAAATGGTTTTAGAAATAATCTGCCGATAGGTGTCATACACTATATTCTGAGTTGTATCAGTTAAACTTCCTTATAAAGTTTATCAATGTAAACTAAGTATAAAATTGAATTCTGAGTGCCTACTAAAGTTTTTAGCACCAGTATAACTAAATGGTTTAAAGTCACACCTCAGTTAAAACTCGTGTAACTTTGAATATAGACAAGGAGGATGTGTCTAGACTACAGGATTTTTTTTTTAAACAAAAGTAGGCTTTTTTTTTTTGACAAAACTATACCTGCAGCTACACTACTACCGTGTTCTGTTGACAGTAAGTCGACAGAACGCGGCAGTTTTGTCGACATCAGTAAACCTCATTTTACGAGGAATAATGCCTTTTTTCGAAAGTACCCTTGAAAAAGGCGCTATTGCATGGAAACTGCGCTTTTTTGAAAGAGCGTCTAGACTCTTTCGAAAAAGTGGCTTGCTTTTTCGACAATACTGATCGTAGTCTAGACGCTCTCTTTCGACAGAGGCTGTGTCGACAGTATATGTCGACAAAGCCTCTGTCGAAAAAGGTGTGAAGTCTAGACATAGTTGGATAAAGCCCAGGTGAACTGAAGGAGAATACCCCTACTGAGAGATAATATTCCATGATATTGTAGTCAGCAAGTTCTTCTCTGTCAGACTTTCTGCCTGATCTGATAAAAAAATCAATAGTCTTCCATCAAAACCATTCCTTTTACAACAACAAAACCTCACAATAATAACCCCTGGTTTTAGACTATCCTGGTTTTAGACACCTGCTTTTACGGTTACTATTCTCACAAATATAATAAATTACATTTTGTTACTAAAACATTATGCAAACTTTGATTAAAACTCACCCCCCCCCCCATGTGGTTGGGAATATTATCCCCCTTTTACAGAGGGATAAATAGAGGCACAGAGAAATTACGTGACTCACACAACATCACACTGTGTCATTGTCAGAATGCAGATGACAATTCTGATTTCCTCACCCCTCATCCTCTGCTCTTCGACTAGACCATAGGCATAAAGGGTACTAGACAGTCTCTGCCTCTCTCTTGCAGCAATGAATCTGCATTTTTCAAAACAATACTTCTATATGATGAAAAATAACTATAACACCTCTCACTGATAGAATGAGGTTAGCAGAGATGCTCATTAACATATGTAACCATCAAAGGGATACGGTGAAGACAGGAGGCGATATTCTATGGCTTTTGTTCTCCAGGAGGTCAGATTAAATGATCAAAATGGCTCCTTCGGCTCTTACAAACTTACGATTCTACGTAAAATGAGAAGGGGAGTAAACTAGAGGTAAGATAAAATGGGTAATAATATCTCATTCACGGTCTGAAAGTCCAAAAAAAGCCCTTCTCTCTTCATTCTGACTGGCCTTAATTTACCACCTTTCTCTCTAAAAATGTATATTCTAGCTGCCTTCCTCACAGAAAACCCCTATAACTTGCACTTAAATACATAATAAAGGGAAATACTCCTGCCTTTTAACTTTATTTGCCCTTTTTGTTGACATAGCTAAACAAAGGTGTGTCCACATCTTTGTACTTGCCTGAAAGACAAAACAGAGCAAACTCAATGCAAATCTGAAGTAACTGCACTGAAGTGAATGAATTAATCCAAATGTATAGCTATGCAACATGACATCTAGTCTCAGAACTGCTACTGGCAGCTATTCTCTCCCCCCTGTGGCACTGCAGTAAATATAACCTATAATTACTTTTGTAGTAGCTTCAGCCTCCATGGTTGACTGGGGATTCCAAACAAACTCAAATCTCTCACCAACTAATTCGACAACACTGAAGATTCATGAATATTATTAAAACCAGATTGGGAATATTACAGCAGCATGATACAACAGAGGACCAAGTGCATAAAATCTGAAGTATTGAAATGGTATATGACTGAGTTTAATTTAGAAACTTCTGTCCTGTAGCTCTTCTGGTTCTCTTGTTTATCCTCTAAGAATCAGCTACTAACATACTATCTTCTAGGAAGATGTCCTATTTCAGGGCATTCACAACAATAGCTAGGTAAAAAAACCTCAATGTATAATCAAATATATATATATTGTCTCTCTCTTATGGGGGTAGAGGGTTGGGAGGTGATGGTAAAGGAGAATCAGATTGACTTAAATGACAAAATCCATTGTCTCGTGCTTTCAGATCTGTAAATACATTTCCTGTCCAAACATTGGCATGCAATTGGACCAAATCCCAGACATCTACAGTGAACAGCACACTATAAGCAAATGCTCTTGGTTCATAAACCATGTTCAGATGAATATCAGAGCCTTTAACAGTTTAGGGACACTCAAAAGTTCAATGCAGATTGTGGGAATACTGTATATTTCCAATATAAAACTAAAAAGACTTCAATGTAATGTGGTCCTGTATGTTAACTGGAGCTATATAATGCAAAAATTAGAAAAATTGAAAAGCATAAAGAATTACACAGTGGAACATCTCATTCTACTTCAATAGAAGTCAACAGGAATTTTGCCATTGACTTCAGCAGAAGTAAGACTGTCTCAGTAAAATTAAATGCTTAATTGAGTAATAAACAAAGTTAACGTAAGAAAGGAGACCAAGCTACTGCATATCTTTTTTCTTGGTACTTTGAATACAGAATGCAAAAAGCTGGAATACATCCTGATGGCAAGTGCCCTATTAAATAAAGTTTGGTCCTCTGAATGAAAAATAATAAAACCACATTCATTGGTCAAGATACCAGACTATAATGACCACACAACTTAGGCTGAAGCACAAATAGCGAGTGAGGCACATGTTACATACACACAGAGAAACGTCTTATGTGTTGAATGAAGCCAATCGGTAACATAACATAGCTTTCATGAGTAAGCCACTTCCAAAGAACTCGCAGTTTGTTGTTGTTGCTTGTTTCTTCTTTTCATTTTCAGGTCACAGAACTTTGGCTCATGAGAGCAGTATGTGTGCGACACAACACAATGTTTACAACAGCAGTAAATAACCCAGTCCAGGACATGCAGATGGCCTCAGGAAGTAGCCTCATCTTCACAGACATCAGGGAGTTCAGGGTCCTTTACTCCTTCTCGGCTTGCTTGCTTTCTACATGAATCAATGAAGGGAAGGAAATAATTAGAAACAGACATTTAGAGAAATTGAGCAGGTATAAGTTTTCTCCAATAGGCAAGTCAAACCAATAACAATAATTATATGAAGCATGACATTCAAACAAACTGTATTCCCCTAAAAAGTATATCATATAACCATTAAACTGCCATAGAGATAAATGCATCAACATCAGTGCACTGATCACTCTAAGTATTAAAAGACTTTGTATCATGAGGCTACAGCTCCCTAGTTTGTTAAAATGCATTCTCAACTCCATTATATTACACCAATACAAGAGACTTGGTTCTCAGAAACAGACATACAGAAAGGCAGCAATTTTTATGAGTTTATTTGGTTTATATTTTTAAAATCTACTTGCTTCACTGATTTTATGGTTTGATATCTGCAACCCTTTTTCCAAAGTTGAACTGCAAATGGCAGCTATGTTCCCCGAAGGCAAATAAAAATGTAGCCAACAGCTGTGTTGCAGTGGCTGTTGTACATTCTTTGAAGTGGGAATCACATCTTCCTGTGTGTCTGTACAGCATCTGACACAACAGGGCCACGATCCTTCCTGAGTTCTTTGGGAGTTACTGCAATAGACATTATAATTAATATTAATAGAATTAGAACTCAGAACTGATTAAAATGCCAATTATATAAAAAAGGCAGTGTTTCCCCTTTTTCAGTTTTTCCAAGAAAAACCCAAACTAGAAAATGTTTAAGAAAAAAATACGGTTTTGATAAAAATGGTTTTGAAATCCAAAGACTGAAAATATTTACTGAAAACTACACAAAAAACTGAACATTTTTTTACCAAAAACCAAAATTGTTTCTGACAACTGAAAATTTTACCACAAATTTTGTTTCTAGCTTCTGATAAATTGATAATTCTTTGAAAAAGCCTGAGCAAATGTACTCGGCACATGTCAGAGTATTAGTCACTAAAACAAAATGAAGATAACTTACTTATATTTGTCTTAATTCCCAAAGTCTTCAGCCTTTTCAGAATGCTCCTAAATTTCAACTTCCCCTCTTGCCAATTGAAAAGAGTGACAATTATCTCCACTGCAAAACCATCTTCAATGTTACCCCTACTTGAGTCTCATCCACACTCAAATGCTCTTAACTAGAGTGTGGTGGTACGTTCAAGGCCTTGTCTACACTAGAAAGATTTGCTGGGAAAGGTATACTGGTAGAGCCATACTAAACACATCCTGTTACTGGAAATGCACCTTACACTGTCAGAGGAGTTGATGAGCCTAGTAAGTGGTTAAGACAAGTTAGCAAAACCTTTCAAGTACTAATGTGAACACTGTGCTTCTAACACAGTCATACTGTGTGGCTTGAGTGTTATTTAACAGTATGTCTGTTCTTATCCAAGCTAGGCTAACTTGAGAGGAAGTAACTAAAGTGTAGGTATCCTGAGTTAACTCTGCAGACATAGCCTAGAAAGGTAGCAAGGCTAATTAACTCTTAAAATGGTAAGGTGAATTTTTTTTGGACATCACACCTTATCATTTAGTTTGTAGCTGTGTCAGAAGAACACTTATGCCTGAGCTGTACTTTATACAGTGAACAGAAAAAAAGTTACCATTAAGTATAATTCCATTTCTAAGTGCACCATCCCAGCCCATGTGATAAACCTGACCTTGAACATAGACAACTGATCATTTCCCAATGTACTTTCAGGCCTGACTCCAAGATGCTGAGTAATAGATCTGTCTTCAGAGGCTGATCCAAGTTAATTCAGGGCTTGTCATCACCCTCTTTAAATGATTTATTACCGTGAACAGGAAAGGAGTTTTCATTATCAAATAAAACGCAAGCAGGTCTGTGCAGTGGGATAACGGCAAGCATAATTCAGCAGCAGATGGTGTCTGACGAGTTATTTAGAGCCTGCTGTCATTTTGTTCTGTTTGCTAGTCTCTGCGATTTGATGAATCAGATTAAATGTTTCCCTGAAATTCTCAGTAGCTGATACCTGTCTGGACACCTTGTTTTAGCATTAAAGGCAATGTGATCTGCAGGAAGTAGAATGGGTGCAATACAGCATAAATTGACATAGCATTCATACAACACTGAATATCAACTACATGAATGTTCTCCAGACAGCTGGAGGGATCACGCAGTAAGGGGTGTGCGGTCATTAAATGTTTCCCTGAAATTCTCAGTAGCTGATACCTGTCTGGACACCTTGTTTTAGCATTAAAGGCAATGTGATCTGCAGGAAGTAGAATGGGTGCAATACAGCATAAATTGACATAGCATTCATACAACACTGAATATCAACTACATGAATGTTCTCCAGACAGCTGGAGGGATCACGCAGTAAGGGGTGTGCGGTCTGTGCTAAGGCAAAGGCTAAATGCAAGTCTCCATTCAATAATTATTCTTAAGGTGTTACTTTGTATCCATGTTACTTTAATTAATAGCAGGCTAATGAACTTGCTCCGTGTGGTAATCCAACACGCTGCACTGTTGAGACCATTGTTGTTAGTAGTAACAACACATGGCCTGTGTATAGCAATTTTTGTACAGTAATGGCACAAACATCACAACATAACAGATAGTAAAATTAGGGCAAAGAAGCAACAAATCAATATTTGACTCCTTCCTTGTCCCACATTCAGATATGGCTCACTCATGCTCTGTCCTGGGAATGGATAAGAAATCTTTCCTAATGTCATTTATGCAATCACTATGGACCCAGTATCTGTCCTCATTTATGCACTTGGAACTTCCATTGACTTCTCTGGGAATGAAGGCAGAACATCAATGAGAATGATGCGACCAGCCGTTATGCCTGGGTATCTGAGAAGAGAATTTGGTCCAATGTATTTAAAGAAAAATTGCTTGACAACAATGGCAGCATCTATCTTATGAACAGTTTGTTGCACCTCTGAGGTCAAGTCATCAGGGATCATTCACAGCTTTCATTTGCACCAGGCTGGGTTATTCATTCCGAAACCCAAGAATTGTCTGCACTAGTAATCCATCTTACTTCAATGGCTGGCCAGAGATTCCTGGAACTACCTCTATCAGTGCAAAATAAGTGTAGGCAAGAGAACCCTCGATTTGCACAGATGGAGATTGTGCTTGCTTGAAACCTGGGGAAGATAAAATGGAGCTAAATGGCTAAAGATGGCTGGAATCAGGATAAATTCTCAATGTAGATGAGTCACAGTCATGGCCTTATCGGGAGACTGTGCATATGCTGTTTTTCAAGCTAAACAGGTTTTGGATATCATGGGGGCAAGCAGTGAACTTCTGTACTTTATTAGATCGCTCTAGCCCTTATGGGTGCTGATATAGGGCTGAGCTTGATTTTCTGATAGAGCCTGATCTTCTAACCTAAGTCATCAGAGGTCCAAATTTCCTTTGACTTCAGTGAACCTGTCTGTGACTTCTTTACTGTACATTCAAATAGAAAGGACTATTACCTAGATCAAGACTTTCTTTTTTCAAAACTGAAACCAGTCCCATGTATCACAACCCAACTGCCAATGAAAGTTCTGAATCAGCCTTTTTGTTCAATTCCTTCCCAGTACAACTGAAGAATCTTTTCAAAACCTTTCATGCTTGCAGTAGGAGGTGTCCCAAGCTTGATTCATCTATTTATTTTACAGTGATAAATGAGCTCCTAAACAAACAACTGTCTCCATAATAATGGAGCGTCTCAAATGGAATTTCAAGAGACATGATTAATTTCCAATCATTCATCTGGAACCATTGTCAAATTCTAGGCAGAATAACTGTGCTTTGAGCTGGAAGTGCACAGTGAGATTTTGCTCTCAGATTAACTATTTAAAAAAAAAGTCAATGTGAAACATTGGAGATTATGGTATTTTGTTGTTTAAATTGGACAGCATACATTGTGGACAGGTCTGTGGAATCTGTTGCAATATGCATGCTGTCTGCTTTAAAGTGCCAATGGAGATGAGGCGTGTTGAAATGTAAACCAAAGGCTTTGTCCATATCAGTCACCACAGCAGAGTCCCAGAGACTTGAAAGTAGAGGTATTGATAGAACCGTCTGCTGCATATTTAATTCTAGCAACAGCTATTCCTCTTCCATAAGCTCTAAGTATTGCAGATGAGCCACCGCTGCAAGTTCAGATTCAGAATCCCAGATTTTATGGTTATTGGATCCACGGTTTTGGACTGGGCACCATCTCTGCTAAAACTCACGAAGTCCCCTCTCCAGCCCTTCCCAAAAGAAAAAAAAGAGCGAGGAAACCAATGACCAAAGAACACCCCCCACCCCAAATACCTTAGAGAATGAATGTTAGTGTCACACACATAACTGACACAAAATTGCTCCTATATGTAGGAACGAAGGATGGAATTTTATGTCCTCAATAATAACACACAAAACACGACAACTGAGGAGAGGATGTGTAATTCTACTGCACTCAAGGGAAATGCAAACACACAGTTACCTTAAAGATGGATGCAAATATACAGATGAGCTTAAGAGGAAGCTGTCCCTAAGGGCAAAACAATGAGATAAAGGAAAAAATGGTAAAGAATATGCTGGCAAAAAGCAAATGAGCACATATTTCTGAATACAGCAAAGCCCCAGGAAGGAAATTAAATAGAGGACAGAGTATTAGTCAGCAATGGTTACTGAGGCTAAAGACCAAATAAGAAAACCTGACAGTTAATCCTATCACCCATAGCGCAATGCTATGCAAGCTGGAATAATCACCTGTGCTAATAGCAAGTGACCCTGCACGGTGCCAACTGCTCTCACCTGTGTTCAGTGCCATCAACACTCACTGCAATCAGTGGGTGGTGAGGGTGTTGAGCTGCATATGGAACTGTGCACACAGCAGGTAAAAGTCTTATGAACATGTCGAGTTACTAACTGCCAATGGACACAAGTGGAGCAGAAGCAAAGCCCATACACCACTAGCCAGCTAAGAGGGGGTACTGTATGTGATGCTCTGCGTATCAAGATGTGAAATCGTGTGCCCAAGTTATTCTATACAC